CTTAAATTTTTATTTTCCATTTTTAAGTTGTAAATTTGTAACATGAGATTGTTTTCTTGTAATGACTGTTCCATTGTAATGCTCTCATTTAGATTATCTTCAATCCTCGTTTTTAGTCGCGAGTTGCTCTGCTGCAATAATGCAATTTCATTTTTTAATTCATGGATGATCGACTTTAATGCCACAATTTCTTCATTTTTGCCAAGAGGTTCATCATGTGAACAAACATATTGCTCATGGTCAGATTTATTTGGAATTTGATACCGCTGCATTATTAATAATAATAATAATAATGACATTTATTGAGTTTTAATTAAGTAAGACAATATTTTAACCATTTATAAAAAAAAAAGAATAACTCAATAGGGCGGAGTTCAGACTGGAGCTACCAAGATAACCCCGTCTGCTCTACCACTCAACCCTTCAACAATATGTATTAATTACAGTGACAAGAACAGCTGTTATTAAAGACCCGGTAATGAGAGAGAGAAAGAGATAACTATAACTAAGAGTGAAAAGCAAAAGCGCAGACTGCTATCTATAGCTAAAGTACAAAAATTTATAAAAAAGTAAAGAAAGAATGGTGTTGCTAAGCATGTTTCTGTCTTTCAAGGAGTATGAGGTACAATTTCTTTTTGAATGCATAAGAAGACAATTGTTTTAAATCATTTGGCAATTCATTGTAGAGGTTGGCTATATTATAACTGAAGGAACGTTTAAAAAGTGTCGTTTTATGGTGGGGTATCGTTATTGAAAGCTTATCTCTAATATTTAAATCGTGAACGGAGCTCCTAAAGATTACTTTTTCAAATAAATATGTAGGTGTTCTGGTTTGCAGTATGGTATTCAAGTGCGGGATTACCAAAAATTTGTAACACGATGCTATGAATGATGAATATGTGTACCTACATATGTATGCGTTTGCAGTGGAATTTCCGTACAATCGATTTACGTTTACAACTTACATATATCAGTTCAATTGCTGTCAATGCAAACCAGTAAAACTTTCGTTTTACGATACTCCGCACACTATCCTGTCACTGTTTTTGCACTTCTGGGTGTAGTGTCACTAACCCCATAACACAAACTCAAAAACACTTAAAAAAACAGTACGTGAACGATAGTTTTGCCTCACAAAACAGAGCCGATACGAACTGTTGCACTTTACACTTCAATTCTTCCATAAATAAAAAAGTTGGCACTGCGCATGCGCAAAACCAAATTTTGAAATTGGCGTTTGATTTTCCTTTATCCCAAGTGCCTATGTATCAAATTTCGTTTAATTCTTCCATAAATAAAAAAGTTGGCACTGGCACTGCGCATGCGCAAAACCAAATTTTGAAATTGGCGTTTGATTTTCCTTTATTCCAAGTGCCTATGTATCAAATTTCATTCAAATACTTTTATAAGTAAAAAAGTTTGCAATTCGGTTTATAAATGGTCGAGATGCGAAAAGGGCACTGTGAATTTTGAATCGATTCGATTCAACTTTTGGCATTGCGTATTATATGGCTAAAGCTATGCCCATATTGAATTTCATGCAATTCAGTTCATAACTAACGGAGATGTAAAAGCGATCGAACATTTCTAAACAAAGTTATCGTTCACACGGACAGATAGATGGACAGACAGACAAAGGAACAGACGGACAGACCAACCGGTAGGCGACAGATAGCAATGCAAAATTATAAACGATCTCTAGGATCGTTAATAAACGGCAAAATTGTAAAATTATGGAACATGTAAAAAACGGTTTTTTCTACAATCGATATCCAAAGTAGGCATTTGGGCTCGTATTTGACAACGCAAACGTCATCTTTTTCGAGGAATGTCACTTTGTCGCTTATAAGCGACAAAATAGAAAAAAACGCTCGCTCTCCCAATTATTAACTATAAATCAAATATGCATTGCTCAGAGTATCCAATGACAACGAGTAAATGACATCTTTCATTTGGGAATAAGATTAAAAGGATTTGAGTGAGAAATTTGAATTTCTGGAAATATGTGAACTGATCGATTGTAGAAAAAATCTTGTGTGTAATTCGAGCGCAAATTGATTGTCGATTTCAAGAGATTGCCGCGCTCCTTCGTCGCGCGTCAACTGTCTCTTTCAATCGACAATATATCATTTTGCGCTCTTAATACACAAATAGCTATTTTGTTTTTTTTACAATACTTTTTTTGTAAGCGGTACAGAAAAAATTCCTTCCTTGGTACAAGACTCGACACCATAACGAACCAAATAGCGAAAAAAGTAGAACAATAGCTCTTATGATAAAGAACTAGTAGCGTCGCAAAACGAGCGGACGGACGGACAAAGTGGCCACAATAGCGCATTTTTTTATTTTTGTGGAAATGCGCTAAAAAGGTCGCAGCATTGAATTTGACAGTTATAAATTCAATGGTCCTCACCTAGGTGCAAACTATACCTAAATGACGAATTCGCGCCTTCGATGTATGACAACGACAAGGCAACTTCTCTGTAAATGCCTTTGGTAATGAGTTTAAAAAAATTATGAATTGTTCTCAAATTGCGATACCTATTTTGTTTATGTGTTTTCACTTCGTCGTTAGCGTTAGCGTTAGCGCCCTTGAATAAGGAATCTTTCTTATTCTGATATCAAATAATTATTACTACATCTGCTTATTTACGAGACGAGGTCCTTATTCGCTCTTTGTTGACCTGATACGACTGAAGATAAATTACATCAGCAGTTAGTATGAATAATTCTGAGCCTACGACGAAAATGCCCTCTAATTAACACCCCAAACGACTATCCTGCAAGGCATGAACGCTAAATCTTTATCAGCCCCTTAATGGAAGCATTCTACTGCTATTCACATATTAAAATATTCAAGGAGTCTGCTTTCATTTTAAGTCGGTTTCCCTTTCTTTTTAATAATTTACAGCTTTTCTTTCATTATCTCGCGCAAAAAAGATTTATTAACGCGATAAATTATATAGAATTACAAAAATTGAGCGCCCCTCACGAAATGAACAACGTATTTGTAATTTCAAACGAGCCAATTAAAATGTCAAAAGAACGATATTGACGACGCAAGGAAGATTGATGACCCCAAAATAAACCATGCGGCTATCAATTGCTTTATATTATACTACAAAAAGTATATTAATCGATTGAGCTTTGTCAATGTGGCATGCTGCCTTTGTTATTCGGGAACGTAAGAGGGGGTAATTTATAATTGCGGTTTTATAAACACGATGTGCGAAAATGTTATAATAACGGCATAATTCATGTGCCCTTTGTAAAGGCTTCCTAGCAATTGTAAAAGCTCGGTCATCAGTGACTTTTCTATCATTAATCATTCAGATACGCACTTATCGTTATGAAAAATCTTACCCCTGCCATTTCCGATTTATCAAAGAAAAAAGTTGGGAAGAAGTCAAGATTAACTTTTTATGAATATTTTTATAATAACTCAAAGTTATCTTTTAAGCAGCGAGAAAGTTTTACACAAAGCTCCAACTAGTAATGAAACTGTTCTGAAGTAGTAAGACAAGGGTGAACTGAAACGTACAGTATTTTTGCATAATCTCATGCAAAGGGTTAACAAATGTAGTTGTGGGCCATCATTACCGATGACTGAAACAAATCGACAATAAAAAGGTGATAGTGAAATGAGAAACAAAAAATGAGGAATTTAGACATAATCGGGACTCAATTACTAATTCTGTTGAAGAATTAGTGCTTACCGTAAAGTATTGAAATAATCGGTTGCAAAAGAATATTGGAAGAAATGTGTGAATTTTGCCATTCTACTGGTTTCAAAATACCTACCCTGTTTAAGTTTGAGCTTTCGCACCTCTGCTAAGATCTTATGAGTTTAGAAAGCCAAGCCTTCAAGAGCTTTCAACAAATTTCAAGAGTTTTCAATAGTCATTAAGAGGGTTTTCTTAAACCATTAACATCTTTAATATCCTTTGAGAGCGTTTAAAAATCTTTGTAGAAAGGAACTGAACCGAAGTAGAGGGGATGGTCCTGGACCTGACAGTCGTCAATTCCTACTCGGCCCACGTTTGAGGAGGGATAATAGATGCAACCTTCGCCAGCGCAAACTTATAGTCAACACATTCCCGTTTTAAAAATTTACTATTGTTCATGAATAATTTTATTGTTGTGTTATTGCTTGCATGTATCACTGTATTTGTTTATGTTATTTTATGTATATGTGTATGTTTTTTAATTAGATGCTATGTGCCAATGACGTGTCGAAGCATAGGATTGGTGGAATGAAAAATAAAGATTATTATTATCAACACACTAACTGGAAGGTTGCGGAGAAGGACTCCGTCAACGACCACAATTATTATTTCCTGGACGGTAGACGGCAGGACACATCTGAAATCGAAGGCTGGGATCAAGCGGTCGCGGAGAGGAAAAGATGTGTGGAGACCAGGAGGAGCAACGAAGAAAGGCGAGTCGCAGGTGGTTTCGCGGCTGGATTGATGGCTCTAGGGGGCCAACGGTCCCGGACCAAAAAAGAAGCCAGTGTTACGGCCATGATTAGTGGAGGGAGAAGTTAAGGCCTAACCGGTTGCCACCCTAAAGAAATTATTATTCACTTCGAGTAGTATTAAGCGTTTGGTTGAAGTAGTATGTAGTAAATCAATAAACAGTTGTAGTTCAAGAGTGCTTTCTTCAACCATACCCAAAAGTTATATACAGTCCACTACTTGTAACGATCGACAATAAACATGGTAACTTCGAGCCGTATTCTACAATCAGAACATTAGAAATTAATTAGCAACAATCATCACCCTTCATCTTTGGAATTCGACGACAACCTTGGGGCGAAGAATACGACCACGGATGCCTGAAGCAATAAGGCAGAACAATTAAACCCAACAATAAAGAGTGAGTCATTTCCAAATTCTATTAATTCCTAACTTTCACATGCTACAATTTGACGCATTTAACGCAACCATTTATTTGATTTTGTATTCGTGTTATGGTACTTTGTTCGATTTTCATGCCTATTTTTAATTAGTATAATTACGATGACGGATCTAGTTAAATTAAAAACTCAACGCGGTAATATAAAATCATTAATAACTAGAGCCGCTAACTATGTCAATAAAATAGATCCGGGGGATGTTGATTCAAAGGTGGTTGCCGAATTAAACATTAGACTATCAAAAATAGAATCGACTCTAGACAAATTTGAATCAATTCAGGAAGAAATTGAGACGTTTAGTGAACCACCAGGCGTTATAGATGAAATTGAACGAGATCAATTCGAAACAAACTATTATTCACTAATGAGGGACATTAAGCACTTAATTTCTTCTTATGAGTCATTGCATCAACAAAATTCTTCAGATTCCAATTCTACAACCTCTTCTATTGGTTTAAATCAAGCATTGCAACAAATAAAACTTCCTATTATAAATCTGCCAAAGTTTACAGGGAAATATGAGGAATGGGTTGAATTTCGAGATTGCTTTAAGGCTTTAATAAACGATAACGCGGGCATATCATCAATTCAAAAATTTTATTACTTAAGGTCATGTTTACAAAAAGATGCATTACATATCATTGAATCAATGCAAATAACCGCGGAAAACTATGAAATCGCATGGAAAATGCTTAGTGAAAGGTATGAACAAAAAGAGTTAATAATTTACAGTCATCTTCGATCAATTTTTGAATATCCTTCCTTAACAAAGGAATCTCATGTCGATTTAAGGAATATGTTCGATACTTTCACAAAGAATTTACGTTGTTTAAAAACCTTAGGGCAACCGGTAGATACTTGGGATACATTAATAATTTACATGTTGACATCAAAACTAGATCAATCGACACGACGAGAATGGGAATTGTTTGAAAAGGAAGGTGAAATTCCGTCAATTAAAGATGTAAACAAATTTTTAAAACAGCGTTGTGAGGTATTAGAAAAAATTTGCGTAAATCAAACAGAAAAACCCAGTTTTGAAAAGAAGTTAAAGGTAAAGGCGCATAGTTATGTGTCTAACATTCCAACCAGTGAGTCATCTAGTTCTAATCCCTCAATTTCAGCTATTTGTTACCTGTGCAAAAAGGGGCATACTATATTTCAATGCAATTCATTTGTTAAAAGCACACCGAAAGAGAGGATTAACTTGGTGAAGGCCAACCGTCTTTGTTACAATTGTTTACGGCCCAATCACGGGGTACAAACCTGCACGGCGTCCGGTTGTCGTAAATGTAACCGACGTCATAATACTTTGCTACATTTAGACAATACGAATATTTCAAGTAATTTTTCTGGTCGTACTCAAAACGAAAGCGGTGCAAATGGTAGTGATCCTTCTGGTAACAATAACATTTCAACAAGGACAATTGACAATAATTTACTATCAAATCAAGTAAGCGTTTTGCATACCAGCGATAACATTGTGTTCCAATCTCAAGTTCTATTATCAACGGCATTAGTTAATGTCCAAGATTCTTTCGGTAATTTCCATCAATGTCGCGCACTTCTTGACAGCGGTTCCATGAGCAATTTCATTACAGAAGGGCTATCCAATAAATTAGGTTTACCATTTAATAAAACAAATTTTGCAATTTCCGGAGTTGGTCAATCAAATACTACTGTTCAATCATATGTAAATGTAAAATTTTTCTCTCTGAACAGAACCTACAGTAACACAATTTCGTGCTTGGTATTGAGAAAAATTACCAATGACTTACCCATAATTACTTTTAATAAAAATGATTTAAAAATTCCACAGAATTTAAATTTAGCGGATCCTAATTTTCATAAGACTGGACCAATCGATCTTTTGTTGGGCTCAGTAATATTCTGGCAGTTAATGTGCGTGGGACAGGTACAATTATGCGCGGTAACTATACAAAAAACACGATTAGGATGGGTGTTAGGTGGAAAATTAGGCAACGCAGAGGATTCCATGCAATCGATTAGTTGTTGTGCAGTCCAGAGTCCCAATAATGAATCACTCGATAAAACACTAACGAAATTTTGGACAGTCGAAGAAATTAACACTAAGCCCAAATTTTCCGAAGCAGAACAATTTTGTGAAGCCCATTTTGTCAAAAATTTAAAACGTAGCAGCGATAACAGATTTATTGTAAAAATTCCACTAAAAAACAATTTTAGCGATTTAGGAAACTCAAGAGAGCTTGCATTAAGTAGATTTTACTCATTAGAGCGTAGATTAATGAAAAATGAACGATTACGATTAGATTATCTCAAATTTATGGACGAATATAAAGCCTTAGGTCACATGACAGAGATTACAAATGACGATGACAATAAAATTAGCTATTGGTTACCACATCATGCAGTTATTCGCGAGTCTAGCCTTACCACTAAGCTTCGGGTGGTATTCGATGCGAGCATGAAAACCGACAGCGGTTTAAGTTTAAATGATGTGCAATTTGTAGGTCCGACAATCCAAAATGAGCTTTTTTCAATAGTGTTACGATTCAGAAAATACAAATATGTGATGACAGCTGACGTATCCAAAATGTATCGTATGATCCTTATAGATGAATCACAAAGATCCTTGCAACAAATCTTTTGGCGTTCAGATCCCGAGGAAGAACTGAAATGCTACCAGTTGAATACAGTCACCTATGGAACAGCGTCAGCTCCATATCTTGCTGTACGTTGTCTACATCAGATAGCACTAGAAAATCAATCTAAATTTCCTGTAGCAAGTAGCGTAATAAAAAGAGATTTTTACATGGACGACCTTTTAACTGGAAGCGATTCAGAATGCGAAATGTTGCAATTACAAAACGATATAACAAAAATTCTATCCTCCGGGGGGTTTGACCTACGAAAATGGCGTTCAAATAACGAACAATTAAGTAGACAATTTTATAGTAATGAAAATTTAGATGCAAGTATACTCCAAATCGGTGATAACAATATGAACAAGGTACTAGGCTTAATTTGGAATGCAGAGCAGGATTTAATTCAATACAGCATTTTCGATTATTCTGCCAATCATGTAATTTCAAAACGCACAGTATTATCTATAATTTCACAAATTTATGATCCTCTTGGACTTTTAGGACCAGTAATAATAACAGCCAAAATATTAATACAAAAATTATGGCAGGCCAACCTTTCCTGGGACGAGGCAATTCCTCAAAATGTATATACAATATGGGTCAAGTTTAGGAGTAAGTTACATAAGTTACGATCGATAAGGATTCCCCGATGTGTTTTAATTCCAAACTATAATTATGTTGAGTTGCATGTATTTAGCGATGCCAGTGAGAGAGCCTTTGGTGCTTGCGCTTATTTACGTAGTAAGGATAGTTCAAATCAAATTTTGTCCAGATTGTTAACAGCAAAATCACGCGTAGCACCACTTAAACAAATAACTCTTCCGAGGCTAGAACTATGCGGAGCTTTATTAGCGGCACAATTAACCGAAAGAGTAAAAACTGATATGGATTTAAAAATTGATAATGTGTATTATTGGACGGACTCTGAGGTAACACTCTGTTGGATTCAAGGGTCCCCAAATAGGTGGAAAACGTTTGTAGCAAATAGGGTTAGCGAAATTCAAGGGTTAACTAACGTAAATCAGTGGCGTCATGTTGCCTCTAAAGACAATCCAGCCGATTTAATCTCACGCGGGATAAATATTGAAGAACTGGAAAGTTGTACACTTTGGTGGTCAGGGCCAATATGGTTACGCGAGGAGATACATTTTCAAACAATGAAGCGAAATGTAACTATTGATAATATTCCAGAACAACGAGTGATAATCCATTTAGCAACTTACGATAACTTTATTGCCTTTGAAAGATTTTCTTCGATTACAAGACTGCAAAGATCATTCTCGTATGAATTTAACGTGTGACGAACTTAAAGATTCTTTAAAATGGCTCGTTAAATTCGCTCAAAGGGAAGCCTTTCCCCAAGACTACGACCAATTATTAACGAAAGGGCACTTGCACAAAAAGAGTCAACTATTGAGTTTAAATCCATTTACAGATGAAAACAAAATAATCCGTGTAGGGGGTAGGATACAGATGTCAAATTGCGATCACGATAAAAAACACCCTATTATCTTACCTCAAAAGCATAAATTAACAATTCTACTATTACAGCAGCTACACGTGAAGTTATTGCATTGCGGTCCAACAATGTTGCTCGCGTCAATTCGAGAACAATTTTGGCCAATAGGTGGACGTAATTTATGCCGTTCCGTGGTGCATAAATGCGTAAAATGTTTCAGAGCAAATCCTCCCAACTTGGCTAACAATATCATGGGTAATTTGCCTTCCTATCGAATCACTCAATATTTCCCATTTATTAATAGTGGATGCGATTTCATAGGACCCTTTCAATTACGCGACAGAAGCACTAGATCTGCAAGGGGTGCTAAATTGATTAAAGGATATGTGTGCTTGTTTATATGTATGTCCACGAAGGCAATACACCTTGAAGCAGTCTCTGATTTAACGACAGATTGTTTTATTGCGACTTTGAAAAGATTTATTGGTAGGAGGGGTAAACCGGCTAACATATATTGCGATAATGGCACCAATTTTGTTGGGGCAAGTGGCGAATTAAAAAGAATTGATGAATTTTTGAAAAATGAGTCTGATTTCTGCCACAATTATTTGGTAACTGAAAATATTGCGTGGCATTTTATTCCGGCAAGGTCACCTCATTTTGGGGGTATTTGGAAGGCAAATGTAAAAAGAACAAAGTACCATTTAAAACGTGTCATGGGAGAGTCCCATCTAAATTTTGAACAGTTTGCTACTGTACTTATTCAAATTGAAGCGATCCTTAACTCCAGACCCCTATGCCCTCTTTCTTCCACACCTGATGAATTAATTCCATTGACACCCGCTCACTTCCTGTTGGGACGTACATTAACTTCGCTACCCGAAAGGAGTTATATGAACATTAAGGAGAACAGGCTAAAACATTTCGAGCGGCTACAAAAAATTGTGCAGCACTTCTGGACACGTTGGCACCGTGAATATCTTGGTGAGCTTCAGACCAGAAGCAAATGGAAGCAGAGTGCTCAACAAAAACTAAACGTTGGGACCATCGTGCTTCTTAAAGAAGAAAATACACCACCATTACAATGGCACATGGGACGTATCACCGAGCTCCACCCAGGCACCGACAACATTGTGCGTGCAGTCTCTGTGTTAGTGAACAAAAGAATAGTAAAACGTGCAGTGACGAAATTATGTATTTTCCCAAATGAAAATGACAATCCTGCAAATACTTTGTAAATATTTATGCATGGATTTTTTTTGTAAATTACGAAAGACAGGTAGACTATAATATTATTATCATTGTATTTATGTTCTAAGTATTTGTTTATTTGTTCTATCTTATGTATTTTGAAAATGTATTTACATTGTTCAAGGCGGCCGGTATGTTACGGCCATGATTAGTGGAGGGAGAAGTTAAGGCCTAACCGGTTGCCACCCTAAAGAAATTATTATTCACTTCGAGTAGTATTAAGCGTTTGGTTGAAGTAGTATGTAGTAAATCAATAAACAGTTGTAGTTCAAGAGTGCTTTCTTCAACCATACCCAAAAGTTATATACAGTCCACTACTTGTAACGATCGACAATAAACAGCCAGGGACAGTAAGATCTATAGCGATCCTTAGTCATTTAGGAAAGTTATTTGAAAGGATTATTGCGTCGAGACTAGATTAAGAGGTTATGTTTTCCGCGGAGAAATATGGTTTTCGCAAAGGTAGAAACAAGAGAAGCGCTTCGATCCATACACTCCTTAGCGATAAGGCAATGGCAGAAACCAGGAGGATCAGGGAAGGCGCGGTTGTGGCTTCTCTGGATACGCACAACGCTTTCAATTCAGTCCCTGCTTAGGTGTTCGTCTAGGCAATGGAACACCACTAGACCTGATTAGGATAGTTCACGAACAGAATATGCAGTGCAAGCAAGGCTACCCTCAAGAGCAAAATTTGCAGTGCGGATCCACGGAGGGGTACCCCAAGGTGCGGTGCTGGGGCCACTTTTATGGAATATCGCTTATGACGCTGTGCTGCAGTTGATCATGTCGAGAGGGGTGCACATACCAAACAAAGCAAGTTTGACAAACTACATATGAAGATAAGATGACGCTGTGAGTAGAGAGCAGGAGTACAACTAGAACGAGGAGAGAAACATTAGAAAAATGACAAAGAGAATGAGAAACAAGACAGTCATGGACCAAAAGTTCATTCACGATGTGACGGGGAGGTTTGACCGTTGACGTTGAATGACTAACTTTAAATTCTGCTACTACATTCGATGATGCGTTTACTGTATTTTACAATACTTTTGTCTCTCATTTCAATTAATCGTTCCCAGAGACCGAAATTTTAAAACGTAATACCTCATATGTAAAAAAAAGGATGGGTAAACAGCACCGTTAAAAAGCTTAGCGAAGATCTTAAAAACTTTTACCACCTCCAAAAAATGTATCCCGCGCTTAAAAAACTTTATTTAACACACAAATGTAAATACCGGCAATACATTATGAATTGTAAGAAATCGTTTTATGGTAACTTAATCAAATCCTCCGACAATAAAAATAAAACAGTATGGAGCCTTATATCTATACTTAACAATAATGAAAAGTCTCACAAAAATATCACTCTTAAAAATTCAGAAACAATCATTGACGATCCTCAAACAATTGCAAATACTTTTAATGAGAATTTTATTAATGGCCCTCAAAATATTCAACGTTCTATAAAAAGAAACATTTATTCGACTAGCAATTTTGAGTCTAATATGACTATTCGCGAAAGTATGTGTGCACTGCCTTTTAGTGAAACGGAATTATTAAATTGTTTTAAAAAAAGCATAAAAAATAAACATTCCTCGGGCCCCGATGATATACCTAATTCTTTGGTTAGGTCAAGTTTGCATATTATAATAAAACCTGTCACACATTTAGTCAATATGTATTTTTCAAACGGTGTCTTCCCGAAAGAACTTAAGCTGTCAACCGTGCATCCCGTTCACAAAAAAGGTTGCTCTCGAGATTGCTCAAATTACAGACCAATTTCTGTTAGCTCGGCGCTGTCAAAAGTTTTTGAATACGCCATGTTAGGGCTAAATAGTCACCTTGTTAAATATAACATTGTAAGTAATAAACAACACGGGTTCTGCAATTCGAGATCGACAATTACTGCCATTAACTCCTTTGTTAACGACATCATTTCACTTCTTGATAAAAAACAGAATGTCCTTGCTATATTTTGTGACCTCAGCAGGGCTTTTGATACTGTTGATCGCTTGTTACTGTTGGACAAATTAAATACTTACGGTATCAGAAGCTTTGTTGCCAATTGGTTTTCATCATATCTCTCTGGAAGGTGTCAACAAGTAGAAATTAAATTTAAAACCGATTCCACTATTGCAAAATTTTTATCAACAGCTTTGCCTGTTAATATGGGGGTTCCACAAGGATCTGTTTTAGGACCTATTTTATTTTTATTATTTATTAATGATATTGTCATGTTCTTAAATTGCTTGGTTTTATATGCGGATGATACGATGGCATTAATATCCGGAAAGAAGCAAGAAAATATATATCCAAAAGCTGTTGAGATTCTAAATAAGCTAAGTAATTGGTTTAATTTTAACAAATTATTCTTAAATCACAATAAAACATTTTTGCTACCGTTTACAACTTTTGGAAATAACCAAGCAACAAAAACATTAATATTCTAGGCACTGGGAAGTAGATCAAAACTTAAATTGGAAATGTCACTGCGAAAATCTTATTAAAAGACTAAACACTTATTGCTACCAGATACGGAATCTTAAAGAATTAATGGATGTGAACCATACTTTAAATGATTACTATGCTCAAATTCAATCCAGATTGTCGTATGGAATAATTGTTTGGGGCTCGTCAAGCGCGGCTAAAAATGTTTTTCTGGTACAAAACGAATAGTCCGGTGTATTGCGGGTAGTAAGAAATTTGATTCGTGTCGCCCGATATTTAAAAAATTGAATATTGTTACACTTTCATCACTCTATAGTCTATATACTTGAATTGTTAACTTTTATTTTCCATAATCAGCAACATTTCTTACGCCATAGCAGTTTTCATAATTACAACACGCGCAATAAACAACAATTTATCACCCCTTTAACAAGACTTAAACTTGCCCATAATTCTCCCACGTCAATGGGCATTAAATTATTTAATGTCCTTCCAAGTACACTTAGAAGTCAGGGAACATTAAAGTGCTTTAAAACTTCTTTAAAAAAATTTCTTCTAGTCAATGCACCATATACAATTGTAGAATTTCTAAATTGTATTGATAAAAATTGCGGATCTCTAGTGTAATTTATATTGCATTCTTTCTTTTTTGTCCATTGTATTGTGTATGACCAACATTTTTTAAATTATATTTAATTGTATTTTTTTGTGTCTGACGTATCCTATACAATTCAAAATTTGTCTTGGGAATTAATATATATTATTATTATCGTATGAACTCATTCAATTCCTCGCAGGCCACGGGAAAATCGAGACCTGTTGTGCAAGATCAGCGAGCAAGGGCATTGTGAGGATAAAGACTGGAAGAGGCAGGCAGTGCTAGAGTACCCACGATGGGATGCGCCTAGATGGAAGCTTACCTTGAAAGTGTCGGATAAATTGGAAGTCAAAAGCTTGTGACTTATTCTGATATAATTGTAAAAGCTGCAGAATTCCACTGTTCTTCGGATGGACAACTATTATGAACTCATTCAGGAAACAGATAAAGCTTTCACTACCCAATAATTCCCAGGTAAACACATTGAACACATAATTTTCTGGCAAGTCTGCTAACTCATTGCTACGATTCGGGTCGTTTTTTTGTGCGAATTTAATATTGCAAATGTTAAATTAAGATTGTTGTCTGACCCTCTAATAAAAACGTGATCGGAAAGGGACATCCACGTAACTTACGATTATGTTACAGGCGTCTTTCCAACTTTTCCAACTACTCTAAAAGTTGTACAATTTTATCGATCTTTAATAGTAATAATCAACACAGCAACACATGCAAGACCCATTTGGGGCCGTTACTGGCCCAACCCTCGGCGCGGAAAGCGAAACGGAAACTTTTCGGCCTCCCCAACAGTTTCGACGTGCGGCCATAAAAAGTCACGCGTAATGCGCAACTTTGTAACATTTAAAAGGTACCAAGTTTAGCGCGCGCGGTATTTTGTTAATGCTTTAATAATGAATAAAGTTTTCGTCGTTCTAAACTACCCCCCACAATGCCGTAATCTTCAAACCATATTCGAAATCTGTTTTGAATAGTTTAAATTAAATGGGCATTCGTGGGCAATTATTATCTTTGCATTAACAAGTTTACTTCAAACGACCGAGTAACACGAATGTGCAAAGGAATTGTACATTTAAAACTTTCAAATTGAGTTGTATTGTTGGGCTTTATTAGTATTTTACAACTTAAGTGCGAAAGTTAAAATATAATATACTGTAACGCACGTTCCAGTTCTGATCACCAACGTTAATTACAATGTCTAGAATACTCACCCTTGTATTAGCGAGATATTTACAGTTTTTGAGCTCACCTGTAACAAAATACGAAACTTAATACACATAAGGGTCTCACAGTTTTCTAAGAGTAAGAGGGGACATTTTATGTAAACTACCTACATGTGAATGAATAATTATTTAGGCAAAACAACATTTAAACGCATTTATTCCACCATTTTTGCAATAAACAGATAACTTGAAAACCTACCTACCTATCATGTAACGAGCTTTATACGATTGAAGTTACTGAAAATAGAAAACTGAAACGCGGAATTACGCTTCAGAGCGATATTAGAGGTAATTTAAGGTGAGACAATAATGACTCATTTTCGCAAACGAGGAGAAATTACAGCCACAATCAATTTCTACACGCTCTCGAAGTTTGAATATCGCCAAATGGGATGTAGATGAAATACAGCATTAATTAAGTGACTTTGGATAACGATGCTGTAAGTACCACCATTTAACGTTATGGCAATCCTTCCTTATCTGATTCCTAATTTATTAGAATGAAACATTAAGTGTAGCCGCTTTTGCATGCACTCTGCTATACATTTCTGCAAATTATCTCGAAGAACAACGATATTCTCGTGTGGACTTCATATTGTAATACACTTCCGTTAAGCCTTGCGCTTATTAGCGACCTTATCAGCTTGTATCAATTAATTTCCGGTGCCACCTGTACAAATTGTCGTATGCTTTTAACATCTGTACCAATTCATCCCCACTATAACGAATGTACTAGTTGTTGTGGTTGTGGAAGTAGTGCCATGCATTTGTTCATAACAAACATTCGACGTACGGAGAACGATTTTATGCTCCTCTCAAACATAGTTAAACAAGTATTGATTGTGTGCATTGGGACAAATAACATGTCGTGGAAGCTTCTTCTTTGTCAATCTTGTTAGTTGTTATTCTTTTCTATGTAATTTCTGCTGTTACAATTTATGACAAATGTTGCATACTTTTCTGTACGGAATGGACTGGCAATATAAAATATACTATACTATACTATACTATACATAATTCCTTAGGTACGATAAAAAAATTCGAGCTATTTCAAAAAGCATTGTTCGCTTTGTCATCTTTCTGACTACAGATTGCGAATTCAGATACATGTAGTTACCTTAAACGAAAAGCTTTTTATTGTTATGAAGAATTTTTAAAAGATAAATTTGTTAACATTTAAGTTTTAAAAGCAACAATACTTTGTGTGATCATGTTCTCGTGTCCTTTGTCTTTTTTTTAATCTTATGTAATTGTACCTGATGACGTGTGAAAATACATTGTATAGATCACAAATAATACAATGAAATGAAATTAGGAAACAACATTATAAATTCGGACAATTATATAAAAAATAGAAGAAAAAGCGATTTTGTACATCCAGCAACTGCAACTGCACATAAAAATTTAAAAATATATGACGAAGGAAAATTAACAAGAAACGAAATTAAAAACCAAATTGAACAACATTTTATGAATCAATGGCAATTGTCTAAGAAAATTGGTTTCCAAATTTATATTGTTTTGGTGGATAATTTATGTCCATTATGTCTGTGAAAAAATGACATGTGAAAATACTTGTAGGTATAAATCACCAATAAAGCATACACACATACAAGAGTGAGAACAGTCTGAAAAGGGTAGAGAAACGTATGGATATACAGGGTGATTCCTATAGTACCTGCCACCGTTTGGGAGCGTATAGGGGGTGCCTAGGGGAGTATTTTGATATAGGACACTTGGGGTCGGAAATCTAAAATAAGGGCGCCAGAACCAAATTTATCTTCTGGAATTTCACGCCTGTATGTAGGCAACCCAACCGACCGACGTTTCGCGCGGAGCGATGCAGAGCGAGTTAGCGCGAGGAAGCGACATGGGAGGGAAGGAGGGAAAACGACAGTCAAAAGCAATAACGTTTACAAGTGTTCAACGTGGCCACCGTTGTTCTCAATGCACTTCCTACATCTAGCCAACTATTATTATACTATTGCCATAGTGTTTATTCACTTGATACGCGTCGTTGCAGACGGGATTTCGTGGGTTTAAACAAAATTCTGATCAAGTATCAGCCACACATCGCCGCCTGAGATCGCTCCGTGTGCACCGCCGGCCGGTTGGGTTGCCTACCTACAGGCGCGAAATTCCAGAAGGTAAATTTGGCTCTGGCACCCTTATTTTAGATTTCCGACCCCAAGTGTCCTATATCAAAATACTCCCCTACGCACCACCTACACGCTCCCAAACGGTGGCAGGTACTATAGGAATCACCCTGTATACCAAACATAAAAAATAGATTAAATTGGAATTGGAATGTAAATAGAGGAATTGTTCAAATAATTCTCACTTTCTGCGCGTCTACCGAAATGGAATAACCGGTTAAAAATTAACAAATGCTTTTGTGTGACGAGTGAGTTGGCTCCTTAACTGTATGGAAGCAATTATTAGACGGACGGATGTTTTGGGTGTTTTGGGGGCGCAATAATGTTCAGTTGGTTTCATCTGACATTGTCTAGTGATTCGATGGAATTTTCCTTTTCTTTTGGATCATCAGCCTTGATTTTTTTATTACTGTACTTTGTACATTTAATAGCCATTAATTTTACATGTAAATTTAAGCTATTAGTAAGAGATTGATGGATTTAGAGTGCGCGTGTGCTGATACGTATAGGGTAGAACGAAGGTGGATCCATTCGGGTATTAAAATTGGCAGTATAAGATTCATTTAGAATTTTGAGTTGACCGGTTTTTCCGAGCGCAATAAAAAGAAAACGATCGTTGATTACATTTGGGCGGATCAGTAGATTAGGCAAAACCAACCTTGTGAAGGTAGCTATTTTTAAATAAAACGCGGTTTGGTAATGGAAAGTTACTTATCGGTCGTGTTTTTTTCCATAGTGCACAATTAGTTAATTATTTCCTCGTTCTCCGATACGCACGCATACTTTATTGACCAAGATTTTAGACAAATAAGACGGATTGTGCTGCTGCTGACGTTGGAAACTTACTCATTCGAGATTCCAGAACAAGCACGTGAGTGGAAATGGGCATGGAAAAAACCGCTTTGTATTTGTCTTGCGATACCGAATCTGTGTAGTGATACTGATATAAACGCCGATAATGATACTGTGATCTATTATAGTAAATGGCACCCGACTAATTAGTTGCATGAACGTAAGTTGAACTTAGAATGGTCGTACTTTTCCATACGTGCCGAAAGAAAAATGGCTGAGGATGTAAGTAATTTAAACAAGATTCTTCCAAAGGACCCACACGTAGGAGACTATATCGAAGTCAGCACAAGGAATGGCTTTATTACATTACAACGATTGTTCCTGTTTATGTTGTTGGTTTACCTTATAATCGTTTACGTAATATGCATCGCACAAGTAATCAAAACGAGGTGGAGGAGAAGCCGCTTTTACACTCTAGTACACAGTCAAGAAATTTGAGATAGTTTGTTTTTGTGGAAACTGTGCAGTCTGAAGTATTCCTTGACATTTGATAAATATTTTAGTCTTTATGGATGTTATAATTAAATTTTTGTATCAATTTTGTTAGCACTTAACCAGAAACTTTATTAAGTTTTTTGATTAAATACAGTCGGTACACATACCCAGGTATTTCCCTGTTATTTGCAGGTTCATAGTTTTGTCGACGATTGGCGAACAGGCAAGAGCATTTTTGCTCGATCTCATGTGGTTGTGCCTATGTGTTTAGGCATTAGTTCACCGATTATGAAACTTTTTATTGCACCTTTATTGATTTAATAAACGTATTTGCTATTGTGTAAAAGGTACCATTTTAAACGCCTTCGTTGGCAATTGAAAAACCATTCCCTAAATTTCGTGTTGCTTTACTTCATCCATCATTCTTAATTTCCACTTTTCCCTTCCCTTGAAACGCATAAAAATCAACTCGAAAATGTGCGAAATACGTATAGTTTGACGATATTAAAAATGAGAACCATTTTTCTTATTGTCGCCGTATAAAATATTTATGTGCGCGCTTCGCCAATATTTCAAAATCTAAATGACGTCTAGAAATTGAAAATATAACTTTCCGATATTGAAATTTCTCCCGTACACACCGACATTGCGAACAATACGGAAGCGGGTTTTGCGTTATAGACGTTTTGAAAATAAAACAAAAATTAGTAAATCGAATTTCGTAGTTTTAAGTATAATAAAAGACGAGGGTGGTCTTGTTTTCGGGATTCTATAAATAGTGGGACACATTTTAACTTCGTTCAAGTAGTTTTGTCAAGTTGCGGCGTACTGCTGAAGTTTCTATCGTTAACAGATTTGTGTTTCGTCAGTTTCGGATTTGTTACGAGATTTTCCTTCTTTTAGGGTGACAATTCAACTCATGTATAAAAAATCGCATAAGCCGCAGTGAAATTGTCACTTTGACAGCGGCAAAAGTTACCTGCAACTTTTCCAGCGACAAATGCACTAGTGGTTTTTTCACTTATTCATTTTCGAACCAATTATCGCATTATCCTTTCCCATATGACTAGTTTGACGTCTGTCAGTAATTGATTAGTTATGCGAATTTCTTGTTCGTTAAATTGTCCTGCCGAATTACACTCGAGGTTTGTATTTAAACCGAGTAAATTTGTGTTGTTGCAATTCAAATCTGTTGCCTTTTAGCAATTGAACTCGAAAAACTGTCAACCTAAAAATGCTCCACCTGCGGTGTCGCATTTTTATTAGTTGACAGTTTTTCTCGTCTAATTGCTAGGCAACAGATTTTCATTACCTAAACAACCCAAATTTACTCGGTAAAATACAAACCTCTTGTGCAATTATAAGTGAAAAGTTTTAAGAGTTTGACAAATAAATACTGAGTGAACTTTTTTATTCGTTAATTCTGTCACCAATAGGGCCTCCTTTCCCCCAAAATTTTGATATTGATGCATAACCTTCGGACCTGTTGCTTATATTTCAAAGAGTGGGCAAATGAAGTTCATTCATTCATTCATTTTATTTATTGTGCTAAGTAATTACATAGTAATTTTTGCACTCGTCTTACAATTACTTTGGTACTTACAATGTGTGTGTATGTGTATATATAAACATAACATGAAACAAACAAACAACTATTAAAATATACATAAAAATTAAAGCCATTAATGATCACTATGGAACAATATTAAACACAAACACAAGAACACTAAGACTAAGGATGTGCAGTAAGAGTGAGGAATTCTTTCACAGTGTAGAAGCAATGATTGAATAGCAACGTTTTTAACTTTCGCTTAAATATAAATTTATTTTGAATAGTCTTCAGATCACTTGGAAGCTTATTAAAGAAATTTACACCGGCGTGATTTGGTGATTTAGTACAATAACTGTTCTTCACTTTAAAGTTTACAAAATCGGTTTTGTGTCTGGTGTTATAACTATGAATGTCAGAATTCCTCAGAAGGTTGTGCTTATTTAAGTGAATGTGACATAGTAGTTTGAGGAGGTATATAGATGCCACGGTCAATATTTTTTTGCTTTTGAAGAATTCACGGCACGATGTTCTCCCACTAAGACCAAAGATCAATTTTACTATCCTTTTTTGTAATACAAAAACCCTTTGAACATCTCGACCCTGCCACCATACTATAATTCTATACGCTATAGCTGAATATCCATATGCATAATAAACATTTAAAAGTGTTTCAGTATCCAGCATTGATTTTAACGTGGTCAATAAGTAATAGCACTTGTTTAATTTATTGCAGACGTTGTTGATATGGGTGTCCCAGGAGAGCCCACTATCGCATGTAATTCCCAGAAACTCTACTGATGTAGACGTATAGACTATACTCTTGCCCAAAGAAAACTGGTTAAAAGATGATTTTTTTCGTATGCTGTGATGTTCGATAATCGATGTTTTTGCAGAATTAATTATTAGATGATTCCTAAAGCACCAATTTGAAAATGCACTCCAACATGCGTTAATTTTCTTTATTAGATTAGCCGTTGTAGGGTCAGATATGATCATACACGTATCGTCAGCATATATGAGCAATTTACCATGTGTAATAAAATTAGGAAGATCATTGATGTATAAGAGAAAGATAAATGGTCCCAAAACGCTACCTTGTGGAGTTCCTAAATCTAACTTAAATTCATCCGAAAGAACGTTGTTGACGCGTACCATAATTCTTCGTTCTTCTAAAAATGACACGAACCAGTTGTTAATGGATCCTCGGATTCCAAGGTTGTATAATTTGTCGGATACAAATGCTTTATCTACAGTGTCAAAAGCTTGAGTTAGATCGAAAAAGATAGACACAACGTATTCACCGACATCTAATTTACTGTTCACGAACTGTATGTATTCAGCAATACTTGATTCTGTTGAAAAGCCATTTCTAAACCGTGCTGACAATTGGTTATTAGTTGAAATTTGTTTAAGTACGAGTAAACTCGTTTTGCCACGACCTTTTCTATTATTTTTGAGAACGTACTTAAAACAGCAATCGGACGATAATTTGCGACATCGCTAGGGTCACCTTTTTTATGTAGTAAAGTTACGGAGGAAGATCAGGGTATTGCTACACTGAATGCAGTCCTTTCCCACATTATTCTTATTTTCTTTATTTATTTTATTTTTGTTTTCCTATTAGTTGTTTTTGTGGGAATAAACATTATTATTATTATTATAATTTTAAGGCTGATGGAAATTGGCCGGCCCTCCTTAATTGAAACATTAATGATGTTCGCAATATGAGGAGCAATCAATTCTTTACAATACT